AAAACATAACCAAAACATCAGAATAAAAACACTTGCAGACAAAATATATAAATGCATTAAAAGACATGGGCTGCAGATCAGCAGTAGGCCTTCGTGAATAGCTGTTTTCAGGTGCTTTTTGAAGCACAGCACAGACTGTAGCGCCCGCAGGTCTTGAGGCACAGCGTGTGATTGGCTAAGACGGTAGGTGTTTGTGGATTGGAGGGATCGTGATGTGGACTGTAGGGTTGCTGTGAATGCATTGGTGAGTGAGGAGACAAATCTTATAATCAATAGGAAGGTGTATGGGGAGCCAGTGGAGTGTACGGAGCATGGGGGGATGCGGTCAAACTTGTGTGTCCTCGTCAGGACCCTGGCAGCGCTGTTCTTAATATGCTGTAGCTTTGGAAGGCTTCTGCCAGGGATCTTGATGAGTACGATTACAATAGTCCAACCTGGAAGAGATAAAGGCGTGGACCAGCTTCTCAGCATCACAGAGAAAGAGAGGGGCAGAGTTTGGCAATGTTTCTTAAATTAAAGTAAGCAGAGATGTTGGATGTGTGGATGAAAAGTGAGTCAAACCTGACACCAAGGTTTGTAACACAGAAGAAGGGGGTGATGTTATGACCAGAGAAATGAAAGAAGTGTACAGACAGGGAACAGAGTAGGTGGGTGGTGCCAGTTTGGAGAGCTGTTTTTATGCTGTTCAGCTGGAGCTGGTTTTGACTCTTTTGACACACCTACGCCTCCATCTCCTCCTGGCAGGAGGTGAGTGCAGCGGGGTGGATGAGGGAGAGGCTGGGTCCAGTCTCACATAGAATTGTGTGTCATCTGCATAGCTATGGAAGGACATTCCTTGCCTGCTGAGGACGTGGCCCAGGGGGAGCATATAGATCATGGGTCCCCAATTAAATTGGCATGAGGTCCACTTACGTGATCAGTTCAATAGATCAGGGTCTGGACATCAGACAAATATTTGATTTCATAGAAATCCATTCAAGCTATTTCTTTCATAAGAAATTATTTGAAAACCTTAAACAACGACGACTACAGTAGTAAACACACCAGAAACCTCTCCCAAACTCTCAGAGCAGAGGCAACACATAATTGTGGAAGACGAGGGGATCTTTTTTGTTGTGCTTCTTTACATCGCCTCCACACTCTCTGACCACAACAAGGCTTTTTATGCACTAAAGTAGTTTGCTAATGTACCTCTGTCTGGCTTCTCGCTCCTCCTCCACTCAGCCAGTGTGAGCCGCCAGTGTGAGCATCTGAACGCGAGCGTCCATCACTCCGTACACAGCACTCATTCCCGTCTCTTTCACGTCTCTGACTCTCACTCAGATTCAGACACTGTTAAAGTTATTTTGATAGCTCCGTATAGTTTTCTCTAAGGACCCCACATAGCCGCCCTTGCGCCTGCCTATTTACAAATCGCTTTTGGTGAAAATTTGACACATAATTGTAATAATGTACTTTTGGACCAAAAAAATCACGGAGGTCCAGAGAAAAGGGTCTCGGGGTCCGGACCTGGACCGAGTCAGCCATTTGATATAGATTATAGGAGCCAAATATGTATTTTTTTTGCGTAATTGGTCTTTGTGTCCATGAGGGGGCACATTCATCTTTTATATGAATCATGAGCTCAGGGTTGAGTGCAGGTGTGACCCAGAAGGGCAAATTGTTTTTTGACCGCACAAGCACGAGTTTGTTTTTCACTGTTTCTCGTGTGATACCACTGTGGATCCTTTTAATAGCACTGTTAAATAAATGAAGATTATTGCATCGTACCCTTTAAAGCTTGAAGATTTTATTGTGTGCTCTTTCACGATTAAAGAGACTTTAAACCGCACGCCACGTGCGGCCGGTGCTGAGAAGTCATATATATAAATAAATGTTGTTAATGGCAGCTGCTGTATGAGAAGCCACTGTTCTGCTGTTAACCTCCTGCTTAACCTCTCTCACCACTCTGTCTCTTCGCCTGCTCGCCACGGCACAGGCAACTTTACACACACACACACATGACACAGCTCTGCTGCACATCCAGGCCAAACACTGAAGCCCATCTGCGCGCCATTGCGTATAGCTGTGCCTGTGCGATTCGTATAGCTTGCTGCGATACTTTTGTTGTTTAGATTGATGCTAACCTCCTGTTTCTGCATGCTACATGCTATGTGCTGAGCTACTTTGCTTTGTTGTTTAGCACGAAGCTAACTCCCGGTTCCTGCCCGCTACCTTAGAGTGCTAAACCGCATTGTTCCTGTTGTTTAGACTAATTCTAAAGCCCCTGCTTCTCCACATTGCATCCTAGTACTAAACTCAATGTTTTGGTGTTAGATTACTGCTAACTTCCTGTTTCTGCATGCTACATGCTATGTGCTGAGCTACATTGCTTTGTTGTTTAGCACGAGGCTAACTTCCGGTTCCTGCCTGCTACCTTAGAGTGCTAAACCGCATTGTTCCTGTTGTTTAGACTAATTCTAACCACATTCTATTACTAAACTGCTTGTTTGTTGTTGAGATTAATGCTACCCCGCTTCTCCACATTGCATTCTATTACTAAACTCAATGTTCTGGTGTTTAGATTAATGCTAACCTCCTGTTTCTGCATGCTACATGCTATTTGCTGTGCTACATTGCTTTGTTATTTAGCATGAGGCTAACTTCCAGTTCCTGCCCGCTACTTTAGAGTGCTAAACCGCATTGTCCCTGTTGTTTAGACTAATTCTAAAGTCCCTGCTTCTCCACATTGCATTCTATTACTAAACTCAATGTTTTGGTGTTTAGATTAATGCTAACCTCCTGTTTCTGCATGCTACATGCTATTTACTGTGCAACATTGCTTTGTTGTTTAACCCAAAGATAACTTCCGGTTCCTGTGCGCTACTTCCGGGTGCTACACTGCACTGCTTCTGCGTTTACACCAATTCTAACCACATTCTACTACTAAAATGCTTGTTTGTTGTTGAGATTAATGCTACCCTGCTTCTCCACATTGCATTCTATTACTAAACTCAATGTTTTGGTGTTTAGATTACTGCTAACCTCCTGTTTCTGCATGCTACATGCTATGACAACAACCTCCAGGCTAACAACCTCCAGCTGAACGCATCCAAAACATGCAAACTGGTCTTTGATTTCAGTCGCAATAGTTCTCATTTGCCTGTCGCAATCGATAACTCCCAAGTGCAGATCGTAAAGGAGTGTAAGTTTCTGGGTCTAACTCTGTCTAATGACCTGAAATGGGTTAAAAACACTGACCGGGTCGTAAAGAAAGCTCGTCAGCGTCTCTACTTCCTGCGGAAACTTAGAGAATTTACCACTAACTCTAAGATTCTGCTGAACTTTTATCGCTGCACCATTGAGAGTTTACTTGTTGGTTCTGTGTCTGTGTGGTTCGGTAACATCACAGATAAAGAAAAGAGAGCTTTAAACAAGGTGCTCCGCTCTGCAAAGAGGACTGTAGGCTGTGAACTTCCTGTCCTGGAGGCTCTTTATCAATCCAGACTTTTTAACAGTGCCCTGAGAATTATCAGAGACTCTTCTGGCCACCCAGGAAAAGCCTTGTTCCAGCTTCTTCCCTCTGGCAGAAGATACTGTTCTCTGAGATGCAGGACATCTCGTTATGCTAACAGTTTTTTTCCACGAGCTGTTAACAGTTTGAATAGAGCACTTTAATGTTTTGCACTCGTATAGATCTGTTTTAAGTTGGTCAACTTCACGGTGACATTTGTTGTGACATTTGTTTACTGTTTTTAAAATTTGTTTTATTTTTGTCTTTTAATGTTGTTTTGTGTCTGTACTTGTCCTGTGCACACGGGAAACTTTTACAAATGTATTCCAATGTGGTGTATACATACTGCAAATGGCGAAATAAATGAATCTGAATCTGAATCTGAATCTGATGTGCTGAGCTACATTGCTTTGTTGTTTAGCATGAAGCTAACTTCCGGGTGCTACACTGCACTGCTTCTGGGTTTACACTAATTCTAACCACATTCTATTACTAAACTGCTTGTTTTGTTGGTGAGATTAATGCTACTCTGCCATATCTCCATGCTACACTGCTTGGTTGTTTAACCTAAAGCTAACCTCCGGTTTTGCTAACTACTTTCGATTGATAAACTGCATTGCCTCTGTTGTTTAAACTAATGCTAAATCCCTGTTCCTCCTCACTACTAGCCATTGCTGAACTGCATTACTGTTGTTATTTAGACTGGTGCTAACTTTCCTGCTACCGCTAACGCTAACTGCTACCGCTAGTGCTACTTCTGACGCTACAGCTATCACTAGTGCTACTATTAACACTACCGCTACGCTAGTGCCCTGAACGCTACTGCCGCGCGCGTAACTAAATCCTCCTACGCGCGCAGACGCTGCTAACCCAACCCTCTTCACTGATACGCAGGTGAAGAGGGACTAAGGCCTGACACACACCTCAGGGCCCGCACCAACACACACACAATAGCTAAACAACCCACTCTGATACTACTTCCCTCCTTTCCTCCTCCCACCGTGTCATGCACACGCGCTCGAAATCACACTTCACACACACTCATTCAAGTATGGACAACAATGGCGACACCTCGCCATGCCCGAGCGAACAAACCGACGACATGGAGGAACGAGAGGTAGTGGACAACTTCCTGCATAACTTCACCGAAAAGTTCTCCCCGGGGGCCTATGACACGCTTGAAAGCGGCTCGCCCTCTGAATTACAGGATGCCACCTCCATCTTGGTGTCCGATGCTATAACAAAAAAACTCGAAGGTAAGACCCTAACCCAGTGGCTAGGACAACTAGCCGCAGTCTCCAGGATAACCTTGCGCGACTCCGAAGCTCAGAAGGAAAAGCTTCAAGACACGGTAGGTGAACTACAACGCCAACTAGCGGAAGCTAGAAAGTCCGTCGAAAACCTTAATGAACAACACCAACAGGTAAGTAGAGACCACCAACAGGGACTGGACGTTACTCCAAGCGCGACCATGGATCTTGACCGCGCATCGAGAATCAGGGCCGCTATGACGGCCGGAACCAGTCAAGCAGACGCCTCCCGGTCACAGTCCCCTCCCTCCGACTACAGCGGCCCATCGTCCGATGGGGACCGCAGGAGCGTGGCCGAACTGGTAAGTATCCTCACAGGAAAAGACCACGGTCAAGGACAAAGGGGTAATAAAGAACCCAACGATGCAAACCGAAGCAGGCCCCACCGGCCCGTCAACGACGGACCCAACAAAGTTGCGCGCGACCCCGACCAAACAACGGGACCGCACCCAACCACAGCCGGCGCACAACAAAACAACAGACGCATCGACTACTTAGACCCCAGACTCGACCCACCTACGAGCCAAGCGACGCACCACATGACAGACCGCTCGCGGGACGTCAGGGACCTCTCCGTCTATGAGAGATAACCCCATGCCAGACCCGCCGTAGCACATAGAGACATGAAAAACGAAACACATGGCTACCAGACCCAAAGACCCGGACTAACCACGGACCACGGCGAACAACGGCCGACAACCCACCAATGGGACAGTGGGGACCACCACAACCATGGAAGGGACCCCCACGGCACCCCTCCGGGCACACACATGGACATGCTAAACAGACAACATGACTACCCAACCCATGACTCTGGACCACCTGACGTCCATACGAGACATAGTTCAGACTACCGCCATTGGGACGAGAGGGCCCAACCTGAACATGGCAGGCAACCCTACAACGACCCCCCTGGCGCACATCAGAACATGCTACCCGGACCACACGACGTACGGTACTCTAAGTCTGGGCCGTCCGCATACGCTGCAACACAATGGCCAGCAACCCGCCATGGAACCCGCCATGGGAACGCCGGGGACCTCCCTAACCCCTTGACAATCAGGTGCGAACCACCGTTCCACCAGTTCATTGGCGATCTACATCAAAAAGGTGCCTACGGGAAACTCTACTTTCCCGTGACGCTTGAGGACCAATGGGAACACGAAGCGCTCGTGGACACAGCTGCCGATATCAGCCTGATTGGCGACGATCTCTTCGGTAAGTTACAGTCCCTGGCCAGAAAATCCCACAGAGACCTAAAAACACAACCGTGCGACTTGGAAATACGACCCTATTCCCAGGTAAACACGACCATACGTAAAATGGCGCTAATGCAACTGACCGTGGGCCCCATGACGCTAGTCCACCTGGTCTACATCTCCCCATTCAACTCGCATCCACTCCTACTGGGCCAGGACCTTCTAAATCGGTTAAAACCCCTAATAGACTTCCAACGTCTAAAGATCTGGGCACAAGTCCGGAAGCCCTTACCCATCCCACGCCCACTGAGCGAGAACCACTGCTACTTCATAGAAGCGCCGCCTGCAGACGGGCTAGAGCCCGCCGCGGCACAAACCGAAACCGGTCAAGAAATGCCCACAATCTGCGCGATCACTTGGGCAAACGCCGCTAAAACGGGCCCGACACCCCACCCACACGCACAACCCCCGGACCTAGTCTCCCTCCGATATGCGGACCCTACACTAAAACGCCTCATCGACGTCACGATCGACACGACACCCACAAACCTCTGGCGTAATAAAGACAAACTGCCAATACGCCATGGGCTGTTAGTTTCTGCTTCCAATGCACACACTTCGTCGGTACTCGTGGTGCCTCGAAGCATGAGGGGGGTGATGTTGGCACACGCCCATGACGCACCTACCGCGGAACACAGAGGTATAAACAACACACACCAGGCACTACAACAGGTAGAAAGGACGGACCGGACGGTGATTGAAATACTAAGGTATGTATCCACAAACCAGAGGGACTGGGACGTGAAACTCCCCCCGCTCCTGAGGGCAATCCGAGCCACAACCCACCGCTCCACGGGGGTTTCCCCATTCGAAATGACGACAGGTAGGCAAATGACGCTCCCGCTGCATCGGCTCTACCAACCGGCTGAGGCGAACATTGCCACGACCTACACCACACACCAATACAGGACTGACCCGCAGGACCACCTGGAACAGACGTTTGCATTTAAACAGAAGAAACTGGGAGACAGCGCCGAAGGACGCAAAGCCTACTACGATCAAAAGGAGTCTCACAACGAACTCCAGGTTGGAGACCAGGTATGGTATTACATCTTTGCACATTCCCCAGGACAAGTGGGGACCGGCCCCACCAGACTACGCCGGAAACTGCTGCCCCGCTGGTCGGGACCATACAGGGTGGTAAACAAACTCTCAACCGCAGTGTACCAGATCGAGGTCACAAAAGGTAGGAGAGAACCCACCCTCAAATGGGTTCGTCACAACCAAATCAAACCACACAAACAAAGCCCCATGGGACAGGTAGGGCACACTACAAACCCCAGTTAGGAACACACCACGTGCCCTCGAACACTATTAGTCCAGCAACCACTAACCTTCTTCTTGGCTGTACTAATCGAACCTCTCTCTCTCCCTCTCTCTCTCCGTCTAACCCCTAACCGTGTCTCATGCTTTGCAGAACAGGTGGCCTCTCCTCCTTGTGCTGACCTGTATAGTGTGCCTCGGCACCCCAGGAATTATTGAGACCAGACCAGCCGCCGCAGTCATGGCCCTCGTCCGGAACAAACGGGTTAGACGACTCCGCGATAACTTTAAAAGGTGTACGGAGGCAATGACGAGACAGATCCGTAAAACGACCAAACCGGGGCGACAGCGCCGTCGAGCGTGGCAATTTAAGCCGGCGCCCCAAGTCAACGACTCAGAGTACGAGGACCTTCAGAGCCACCCACTCGAAACGGTCACTCTTTCTATCACAGAAGGTGAACCAAGGGCCTAAAACCCACCAGGAGTCACCAGCTCAGACCCAAACATATCTACCTCGATACCCAATCAGTCTCCCAGACAATCATACCTGTCATCCCAGTTTATATATAGGAAATCCCCCTCGTAATTAAAAGCCCCACTTGCTACGTCGTATACTTTTGTAATCCTTGCACTCCCCTTTTTGAACAAGCAAGATGGGAACCCCTCGCCAGTGAGTGCCTTAATGACTCGCCCAATCGCTGCCAAGACAGCCACCCTTTTTTTGATCTTTGTAGTTTTTATATTTTTGTATTCTAGTCTCTCGGCTTGGAACTTTGAGTCTTCCAGACCGGGAGACCCAGGAGCCAGGCGCACCGACTCAAACCCTAGAGTTCACTGCCCGTAGCTCACTCCATGAACCCCGGTTAGAACTAGCCTGCAGGGCCAGGACACGCCTTAGAGAAAACCCGGCCTCAACGAACCAAGCCAGAGGCCTGAGACCCAACCGCCTTACTGAGTCACATTGAGGCGAGAATGTTATGGCATGTTACCATGGATCACACGCTAACACCCGAACAGGCGAGACGACCGACTGAGGACACCTGCCCGGCATATCCGACATGACATGCACCTTGTCGGAAGGTGCATCTCTGCCGTGGGGGGGGGTATGTAAGGTGACACAGAGGGCACGACTCAGCAAACCTGGCTCCATTCAGACGTTAACCAGCAAGCAGGATAAAACAAACATGCGCTCCGGGAACGACCCTCCCAGAGTTACATCTGAGGAATAAAGAGGGTCGAATGGAGAACTCTCATCGGTCACAAAGATAACAGCCGTTAACCTGGGGCAATGAATCAACCACAGGATTAAACATCTCTGCCCCCTACCCGGCGAGATCAAAGTCCTGCACTCACTCTAAGAACATTCCTCCCCGGGATAACTGGCGATCCACCAACGGCGTTCTGACGCCCCCTAGTGGACACTGAACACTAGCCCACCCGAGATAGACATTCGAAACCATCGCTCTGTGAAGACATTATTCTGATAACCTTTACTGGCTCTACCCGTGTGTAACATTGTCTGTAATGTAAATACGCTGTGTGTCGGTATATGTGTTATGAACGTCAAAATGTGGTATTGTGTGTGTATATGCTGTTGTAATGTCTGTCCAGGGAGACGCACAAAGATGACGTCATGGACGCGCCTCCTTTGGAACACAATAAAACCACACGCAACCCAGAGATCTTTCTCTTGGCATCCCTTGCAATCAACTTAGCAACCACAGGTACGCGTCTCCTACGCGACCTCTGGCCTGCAACAACTTAGGCCTCTCTACCTCCACGAGGACAGCTCACGACACCCGCTGTCGGAGACCACGAACTATCTCCACCAGCCACTTTCCGGCTCTCTGGACGCCTCCTCATACAACGCTATTCTAGACGGCGTGTGTGTGTGTGGGAATTTAAAGTTTGGATTGAACCCGCTGGCTTTGTGTCTCCCTCCTGCCCGAACAAAGGAGCACGTGGACTGCCCATCCCCTTCCTTTCTTCATACCCCATTCTTCAATATGGACTACGTCAAAGTAAGACTGTTCTAATTGCCACGTTAGTGTGTAATTCATGTGATATGTTTAACATCTCTGTTTAATGTGACCAAACCCCTCCTCGTTGATATTTTTCTATTTTCGTATATAGTCAATAAACCCACGATAAACTTAAGTCATCGTCAAAGTGTTCTTTTTACCAATCTTTTGATATCCCTGGCTGATTTCGTACTCAAAACCGATCAGATTGTGAGACTGATCGAGGCAGATTAGTTTGGATCTGTTGCAGACTTTCACTGTTCTGCTGGTGCCCCAAAAATAAATTCAGATCCCCCTCTGTGGAACGGCGAGGCTCTATCCTGGAGACTGGCTCTTCCACAGTACAATTTTCTTCCCCTACATAGTGCAGCCGGACCAATACCGCTCGCGGTCCCAGCGCACCCGCGAGTCTCAACTGTGGCCCGCTACGGTGCGCCCTATCGATTACAATGTCCCGCAGCAAACCCAGGACCTCTGGAATCCACTTCTGAAAGACCCTCTTTGAGACCCACAATTTTCACATTATTCCTTCTGCTTTGATTTGAGATAGATTCCAGCCTGTCCAGAGCTCTTTGAAGTTGTGACTCCAGTGCGCTAATGCAAGGCTCACTCACCGCAGCGTTTTCCAAATCCGACAACCTCTGCTCCACCGTGTCCACTCGCTTTATTAAGTTGTCAAATTTACCAGCGAGATCATTCAGAGGTGTCAACTTGCCGTCAAGCATTTTGTATATGTTGCCTGTCACCCTATCCACAATCGAGTCGTTTTCATTGTCATGATGGCCTTCTGGTAAGCTAGCGTCCTCGTCCTCGCCCGTGGATTCTTCCTTGTTATTACCATTAGCTAAAGTGCTGTTACAGCTAGCTCTAGCTTTTGCACCTCTTTTGCCCATTTCTCTCTTTTTGCTTGTTCCAGATTGCACGAAAAAGTCATCCAACGACATTACACACACATTCGAGGCACATTTGAGGCAAAATGAGGCTAAAAAAAGTATTTAAAACAAGTCCAGTGCGGGGACCGAAAACTGGCGACTATTCAGCTTGGCACATCACGTGACTCCCCACGTTTTTTTTTGGACCTCTCGCGGCCCCCTTGCAATACCCTCACGGCCCACCAGGGGGCCGCAGACCCCAGTTTGGGAGACACTAATGTAGAGAATACTTCAGTCTTGTTCTGTGTCCTGAATGTTCAAGGATAAAGTTGTTGTTGTTCTCCTGAGTCTGGAGTCTTGCACATGGCTCTTTTCATTGTAGTAAAACTAAACTTTATAAATAACTTTTTAAAACATGGATTTATACATGATTTCCCACATGTCTCTATGTGTGGTAAGACGGGCTTTGGAGACCTGTGTTGGTGTGCTCTTACCTGCCGCTCCGTGGCGCTGGCCCGGTGGCCAATAAAAGAGCGCCCAAATCTCAGCTGTATTCCTCTTTGCCCACACACTCTTCCGGGCCCTTGTGTTGGCCGCCTGTTCACCAGCTCCAGGTAAAGTCCCGCTTTATGTCCAGTTTCACGCGATATCCCTCCAAAATTCTGTCACTGAGTAGCCGCTTCACTCTCCATCTAGTGCCACTGTTTGATTACTGCAAAATACAGCATTTCCTCGCTGCTCTGCACCACTCTGGTGCACACATCCGTGCGCTGTGGTAACAGGTAAGATCAAATTGGCCCATTCTCTCCTCTATGCCTACCATGTGTAAATGTAGAAAGCATTTAAAGTGGCGTCTGGCACTTTTTGTTAGTTCCCCACTTTTTCATTTAGTTCAGTTTAGTAATCTCCCAAATTTAATATTCTTTCTAGGTAGCACTGACACGTTGCCTCCTGCTGTTTTGCCTTCATTGCTGATTTTGTCTTCTCTGTACTGCTGTTTTTCTGTTGCCTCTGGTGGACTTCATTTCCGTGTCCTACTTTGCCAGCTTCTCCCCATATGATCCAGTCTGCGCGGTGCGCACTGGTGGTTCCCAAAGCAGACGGCAAGCAGAGACGCAGACCAGGTTGCCCGTGCGCACCTGGGTCTTGTCTGTCAGAGGAACATATCAATAGTGTAAATTGTTTTAAACTGTTATTTCAACATTAGCGCTTTTTAAATATAATACATCTTAACAATGTATAAAATTGATTGTTAATTAAATAAATCTTGTGAATAAAACTGAATTAACTGGAACCGGTTGCCTTGTATTTTCAATACTTACTTGTGTGCCTTCAGACTGCAATACATTATTCCCCCAGGAAGTCTGGGGTGGCGTTGCTACAACCTCTCTAATCCTTATTATTTCTCCGATCTGTTAACCCCTCGGTTGCCACATCTGAGACAAAACAACATTTCTCATTTGGATAAATTACAGCTTTTTGTGAATCCAAATTCACACAAAATGGTTGTGTGTGTTTTTAAAGTCTGAGGTGTAATGACCACTGCGCTGACGGCCTGGATGTTCTGAAGGCTTGGCAGCTTCTGTCTGTTCTTCTATGACACACACTTCATATTTACACATTTGTATTAAATATCAATAGACTCACGTTTGAAGCATGGTCTTGGTTTATTACTGTCCTGCTTTAAATCTGAAGCAAATGATTACAAATGTTTGTATATAAACGTTATGTAAATATGTGCGTGTGTTTGTGTGTGTATAACCATGTCTGGTGTGTAGCTACATAGAATAGACGTTCTTGTCCTCGAGAGACACTTCGTCTTGGACTCAGTGCTACAGTTGTTTATACAATAAAGAACAAACATTCAAGAATAAAAGACAACAATATAAACACGAGGTGAACGTGCTCCGGGAACTCGGTTAATATTACTGTTAAAGTAAACAGATGAATGAATGTCCATTGAACAGACAGTAAAAGATGCTAGCGGCCTGTGGCTAATGCTAACGCTAACAGCACTAGCATAACACACACTCACCGATCGCACGGAGCAGGAGCAGCTGCGGTGGTAGAAGGAGCTCTACACGGGGATCATGCAGATGTTCCCTCTGCTCCAATCAGCTGCTGACTTTATGAAGCACAAAGATCAAAGATCGTTGTTAGGGACAGATGCTAGTGGAGAATAAACTATGCTCTCACGTTGGTATCTTTAGCCTCTTGTCTGGGAATATTTATTGTTGAACAACTTGGCAGCACAGGGAGCATGAGCCATAGAGGAAGTTAGCGATAGAACAACATGACTACATCCTGTAGCGCCTTCAAAATAAGAGCTTCTGTTTAGACAGGGAGTAAAGCCTAGTGTATATGTGAGATTTCATAACACTTTTAAGCAACTTTTGTTAAAGTTAAACTCATCAATCTATCAATGTGCAGAAGCCAGTACTTTTCCCTTGTTGTGTCTATCTGAAGGCCAAGCTACATGGCACCGTGGCAGCTGCTGATTGGAGGTCTCCATGCCTCCGCTCTGTATAATACACTTGCATTCTGTTGTATCTGTGATCGTGTGCTTTGTTCGTGCTGTCTCTACCATCGACAATAAAACATGTCTTCTGTCTGAATTTATGACACGATCCCAGACTTTGTCATCTTCTTCAGGTGGTGGAAGGATGCGGGCCTTGTCTGTAACATCTAGAGAACAGAAGACTTTTTTTTTTACACAAAAAGTGTTTTTTTTAAAGCCAAAACTGAGAAACCTCAAGAGAAACCATGCATCTGGACCAGCACACTTGGACTATCTGCACAGCCCCTGATTCCAGTCAGGCTGTGAGCTGCTGAGACATGGACAACACCATCGTCCTCTTTTGCATGGACATCATTTGGAAAAATTGGATTACACAATTTGGACATGATTTGGAACAATCTGGATTTCTGAATTTGGACATCATTTGGACTGAATTGAATTGCTGAATCTGGACACTAAAGCTGAAACGTGTGATTGAAAGACACGTCACAGAAGAATTCATGGCTCGACACAAATGCAGCCTGAAGAAATCGACAGAGAAGTGGGAGAGACTGTTTTCAAAGCAATATCTGGAACCACCATCGACTGATGAAGTTTGGTATTTTACTGAAGATTGTTGACAAGTTTTATGAAAGATCTGAACATGTTTTATGAGTTTTCTGAGTTTTTGAAGTATTCCGAGTTACGAGTTTTTTGAAGTACCGAGTGAAGTACCAAGTTTAAGTATTGAGTTATGATGTTATGTTGCTGTTTATCGATCCTGATGGTCACACGTGAATGTATGACCAGAGGGGGGAATGTGAGATTTCATAACACTTTTAAGCAACTTTTGTTAAAGTTAAACTCATCAATCTATCAATTTGCAGAAGCCAGTACTTTTCCCTTGTTTTGTCTATCTGAAGGCCAAGCTACAAGCACCCCGTGGAAGCTGCTGATTGGAGGACTCCATGCCTCCGCTCTGTATAATACACTTGCATTCTGTTGTATCTGTTGATCGTGCTGTCTCTTTTATTGTCGATGACAATAAAACATGTCTTCTGTCTGAATGTAAGACACGATCCCAGACTTGGCACATCTTCTTCATATACTTGCGCGACGTGGCTTACGTTAGCGGTTGCGGTGGACCTACGTAAGCACAATTGATGTTATACTGGCGCGTTCCCCTTACGGAGTTTTGAGGAGAATGTTGTAATCCCACAACAAACCACATGAGGGCGATCACACAGGAGCGGTCCCATTTACGCTGCTACTTTGTCCTCTTCAGAACAACAATAGCAAACAAAGCTGTTTGAGCTCATTACATGTGTTTCTACTGTAGGTTTATGTGATAGTTTTATGGATTCATTATTTTATAAGTCATTTCAACTGTGATGCTGTGAATAAAGACACAGTTCTTGTTGGAAACATAGTTATTATTAAATAGTCCCTGGTGAAAAAAAAATATACTGAATATATTTAATTTCTGTATATTTTAATATATTTTAGTATATTCTGATAAAGTAAATTTTAATTGTGCTATTTTGGAACAACTTTTTTTGTATTAAATATATTTAAATTGCTCATAAATAGAAATTAAATTGTATTCTAAGTACTCTTAATGCATTTTTATGTACTAAAGTGGAACAATTCTAAGTATACTTTGTACATTTTAAGTATATTATTACAGGTGACAATCTTGTCATCGATTAATATAATCTAATTGCACTTCCATTGTATTTAAAGTGTACTAATAATGTATACGAAATACTCTTCTATGTAATTGAAAGTGTATTGGAAAGGCTATTGCATTGCATTTTATTGTAATTTCAAATATTTATATGTGTTTTATAGTACATTAATCTACATCAATTACACAAAGACTTCCACCATTACAAATATACTTTATTTGTATTTATGTTTTGAACAAACAAAAAATACATTTAATTATAAAGGAAATGTACTTAGAAGTTACACCTTGAACTTTTTGATCTTAGGTTAAATAAATTGGAAGATAAAAGACCAAAAACAAAAACAATGTGACCTTATTATTTCAACCAAAACATCTATGGCCTCTTATGTGAGAAATGTTCATTGTTGCACTTTCTTCTTATGGCAGCACGAACTTCAGACACTGTGGATCCCGGAAATTCTTCAATTACAGCATCTGCACATGAAAACTTAATCAATACAAAAAATATGACCAATGCAGTAATATTAATGTAAATCGCATTTATATGCACTTCATACAAGTTATCAATGTATTAGGGGAAGGAAATCAAATTTGTACAGAGCTTTTCACATGACACAGGTCACGTACAGCATTTCAAACAAGATATGGGAATGTTTTTCACTCACTTGTAAGCTATTTGAATATCGTTAAAAAGTGCTTTCATTTCTGTAATTCAACTTATAATCTGAAACTAATATGACAGGCTCATTTCATGCATAGTGATATATGTAGCCTTTAATTTGATGCAATTTGGATCATTATGGCTCAGCTTGTAAAAATCCCAAATTAAAAATCTCTGAAAAGTAGAAGATTTTGAAAATGGACTGTAAACCATAATCATCGAAATTATTTGAAACAATGGCAGGACATACTGTCACTTTGCATGTAACGAGTCTCTACATCATATATTAGTTTCACATTTTATGTTGAATTACACAAATAAATCAACTTTTGCACGATATTCTAATTTTGTGAGTTTCACCTGTATATTCATGAGTGTACGCTGAGAAGCAACAGACAGTTCAACCACTATTAACCACTCATAAGCCCTCATGTTCTCCTATCCAGGAACTAACTAGACACAACTGTGTTAGTATTAACCCTTATGAATTTCAAAGATACATTCCAAAAGTACTTTTCATGTTCTTAACATACTCTGTTTATAGAGCCTTCCTCAGTCGCTGTCATTCTGGTTGTCAGTCAGCTTTTTAGAACTTTGAGGTTTCATTTAAATAGGTATAGTCCTAAACAGCAGATTGCCAACCAAAAGTCACATGACTGAGAATGGACTTATTTAGAATTGTGTATATTTGAAGCACACCTACATAAGACACGTTTAAGTTCATATATTAATATTTTTTTCTTTTCTTTTTTTTAATTAAGATTAACAGGTGAAATTACCTGTAATGGCCTGGACTTTGATCACATCTAGTTGACCTTTGGCCATTTCTCCTTTTCCATACTTTCCAGTTAAAGTTGACTTTGCCAGAGTGTCCTTTGAAAAAAGAAGCACCGCTAACTCTTGGGCGAAAACGGTCATCCGTGTTCGATTCAAACGAAGAAAAGCCCTTTTAGAAACTGCCACCGTCTTCCCTGGTAGAAAGTGCTGTAGGGAAACAGACACAGAAAATGAAAATAAATTACATTTTGTCTTTGGCTTTTCTGATTGAATCATATTTATTTTAAACAAAATCATTTGTTCGTGGTATACTACATGGTATAACAGTATACCTACCACTTCACTATCACCATCACCATCAGCATCTGAAGAAAACGTTGATGACACAGAAAATGTCCATTATCTCACCAGAGTTTATTCCACTGCGCCTCTTTCTAGTCCGGGCAATAAACCGTTGACTGTTAAAGAAGGCGCCATTGCTGGTTTCTCTTCATCCATCAGAGACTGTTTCCCCCCTCATCCAAAGACCCCACAGGTCTCTCTGATCAGTTCCCATCTGTTCCAGGAGCACCTCCAAGTGAACATCTATGCCCAGAGTTCCGTTGAACTTAATGACAACTGAAAAATGTTGAATTAACCCAACCTGTTGAGTGCATATGAAAAAGTGTATTTTCAGGGGACCGGTGATCTGGCCGGACCAGCCTCGTCCAGCATGACATCCGTCTCCCGGAACCGGTGCTACCAGTTCAAGCAACCTCCGTGCCGGCATGGCCGTGTAAAGCAGCAGGATGCAGACCGGCAGATCGGTGACACCCTCAAGAGACCGGGCCTCGCTTCACGCAGCCAAAGCAGCTGGCATCACCCATCCGTTATGGTGCGTAAGAAAGATGGAAAATTACCGTGCATTGATTTTATCCTGCTTCTTTGACATTTTATTCTATTTTAGTATAGAGCTATTATTCATTTATGCTCCTAATTCCTCCTACTGCACTGTAACTTTTGATGCAACACTGAAATTTCCCCACCTTATGTGTACATTTCCACCTGAGGATTATTTGAAGGTGCAGCCCTAGTTTCACTCAGCTCTTTGGGTATCAAAGCAGCCGAATTGCTCAATGAGATTATGAAACCAAGACGCACTTACATCTTTTCCTTTCATCTATTTGAGTTGTCCTCTATCTCTCGTTTCAAGGCTCCATGCACCATTAATCTGTTTCCCATACATTTTCAGATAAAAACTGTGGCGCCTTAAGGGTCAAGTCCACACAGGCCACAGGCTGTTGGATATTTGAGTGTGTGTTGCTGCCACCTGTGCCTTTGCTCAATGAAAGCTGAGAGAGGCCATAAACTCAGACTTTACTCAGACTGTAGTTAGAACTAGGATGAGAGAATTGAAAGAGGCCACTCAAGCAAATTGGTACCATAATCAATCACAAACTAATGTAGTCTATTTCTAAATGAGTTGACAACTATTTGAATAATCCAGTAGTTGTGATTAATCAACTTGTTACAGCCTATACTTTTCATGTTGTGTTTGTTTTATTATCATTAGGTCCCTGTACTAGCACTGCAGCACAAACAAATGTTGATGTGAGAAGTGTTTGATGCACTGGGACACATGTGCTGTTTTGTTTTGTGATGCACAATGTTGTTTGGAGTGTTAAATGTGTTCAGGTGCAGCTGAAGTGTGAACGTTCTGCACCTGGATCTGTCATGATCAAAGTTAAATAAACAAGGGCTGTGCAAGCAGTAAACAAAAGTTTGTTGTTAAAACATTATGTGCTTAAATGCTTTGCTTCTTATTCCAGGACCCATTATCCTAAAAACATCTTACTTACCTCAGTTGGCTTTTCTTGACATGGAGAATGAGCAGCGGCTATACTCTAAGCTCCTCCAACAAATCATATAATTGAAAAGGACATTTTTGTACAGTGATATCCATATATGTGTCTTTCTTGTTTCCTATAATGTTTCTTATAATGTGACCCAAATGAATCCGACCAGAATGAAGGTGGTGGAAAGTTCTTTGATTTCGGGAAACAATTTATCTCGAAATGAGAAGGATGCAGTTTAATTCTGCACAGATGCCTATGCTTCACTACTTTTTATGACATTGTTGACATTAAACATGATAGTATAGGTGGAAGTTTCGCATTTAACCTCTAATATACTTATTAATACTTGATGCAATACATAGTTTATAATCAATCAGATTGTTTTTGCCTTACCTATTTTTAAATACGTATCATTTGTATTAATATTTACTTGATTCCAGACAATATGGACAATGGGTGGTTGTTGTATTTCAAGGAACTGCATTACATAATAACAAAATCATAATTTGCATAAAGCAACTCCCTACAGAAACAAAATCGTGGTATGACTAATGTTTCCACGATAAATGACAGAACCTTGAAATTTGAAGCCTTCCAGATGAACCCACAGACAGAGGTCTTCATTGTCACAGTCGCAGCTCCAGGGATTCCCACTGAGGCCCACGGAGCGCAGAGCCGACAGCGCGATTAGTGACGTGATGTTGAGGCTTGTCAGGTTGTTGCGGCTCACATCCAACACTTGAAGAGCTGCGTTTTCTGAAAACGCGTCCGGATGAATGTGTGACAGCCCCGGGTTGTCTGTCATCCTCAGCATGACCAGACTGGACAGAGGTCCAAACGTCCTGTCCTCTATGCTGCTCAGTGTATTAAAGGATAGGTCAAGATAGGCCAGTTTGCGTAGATTCCCGAACGTGGACTCTGAGATCTCTGAGAGGGAGTTATTGCTGCAGTCCAGGTACACCAGGTCCGAGAGGTAGTTGAGTGCGAGCGCGGGAAGCTCCTTGATCCTGTTGTTGGAGATGATGAGCTGCCGTGTGGCCAGGGGCAGATTCACCGGGAAGGCTGTCAAGTGTTGGTCGGCACATTGTACCACCAGTTGGTCATCACACACGCAGCGGTCCGGGCAACCCGTGGACAGCACAGGGGACGCGAACACCTCCGCCAAGAGCACAAGAAGTAGGACTATGAGCCGCAGGGGGTGCGCGCTTGGCTGCGGGGCAAGACGCATGACACCGAGGGCTTCATCCACCCCGTTTGGAGAGAGCCAGACCCGTTCACATTCTTCATTGATACATCCCGCGCAGATTGTTTGTTGCAGAATAGATTTCCACAGAGGTCAAATGCGAAGTCAGCGCCAAGCGCCCGCGCGTAATCTCACTCCATGCTTGTCCTCGTCCCTGTGCGCTTCTTGAACTTGATAACAGTCTGTGAAGCTGCTTCGAATGACATTTATTTATCAGGTTTCTTCTAACTGCCCTGAGCTCTATTCAGGGGTTATACACCTCTTGTCTCATGCGTGCACAACGAGTCGCCTCAGTTGTTCCACCACATGTTCCATGCGCCTCTCCTCTGAAACAGAATCCAACGGAGGGCGCGCTGAGCCGCGCGGGGAGAGAGGGTGGGGGTGTAGTTGAATATAAAGAAAGACACTCAGGAAACAACAAGAACGTTGTGAGTAATGTGCAACTTTGGATTTTTACACAATTTATTATATAATACTCAAACAGAAGCCAAAAGTCGACCTATTATTTTCAGACTATAGTGAATCAATCTAGGACAAAGATAGATTTAAGAGTTAAGGTTTAGTATACAGGCCTATTGTCCATTTTATAACAGTGCCATCTAGTGTTCAAAGTGAATGACACACATTTTACCCCTGCCCGTGGATTGAGCAACATCATGAAACCTTGTGATATATTTTGAGTGTGTGGTGTGAGAAGCCCCAGCTGCGTGCTCAGAGGAGAAAATCGGCGCACCTGATACCTCTGCACTCGTGCGCATTACATCACTTGGCCTTTGGGACTGTTTAGTGATGGGATCCCAAACAACATAGTCTAATATATTCTACATGCATCTGATCCTGTGGCCCAGTTTCATCAGAGGAACCACTCTGTAAAAGTGCATTAACTGGATGTAACCAGTGGCGAACAGAGGCGTTCCAAAGTAAACAATGATTCTGTTATTTTAAAAAAAAAAGAAAAAAATGGTGCATGTATTCATGCAGATCCCTGTGCCTTGGATTGCCTTGGAATGTTGACTACTGAATGGTCACATCTTGCACTAATGATTAAATAGAGTGCGTGAATACTCTCAGTATAATTACATGCTGTTCTGGGACGGCCTCAGAGCTATGTTTAGTGTGTTTGGCAATAAACCGCATCAAGTCCATGCAGAACACCAGAGGTAAAGTTGTGGTGAGGTTTAGTTATAAAAACATTTCCCATACTTAACATCTCACAGAGCACTGCGTAGTGCATCATCTGGGAATGGAAAGAGTATTGCACAACTTCAAACCTACCAAAACAGCTGGCTGTCTGTCTAAACTAAACCATAGACTATAAATAAACTCACATCTCAAACAAACAGGGCCAGTGGTTTCTCTGGAGCGGCTGTGGACCATGGGGGAATCTGTATGGGGAATATGTCAAACACTAAACACATCCGGCCTCTAATACCACCAGTATTAGAGGCCGGATGTGTTTAGTGTTTTATTATGAACCTAATGAGGAAATCATTTGATGGATTGAGCATCATCCTGTGGGGCTGCTTTTCTTCAGCAAGGACAGGCAACAGTGTAAGATTAAATGGGTAGGTGGATGGTGCGAAATACAAGACCATCTTGGAAGCAAAGCTGCTGAGGAAAAATATTTTTTGGAATTTTTTTCCAAAAACATACTTTTCATACGATAGAATGGTTAGAAACAACATATAGTTGTATCAGAAAGTGCTGCTCACAAATGATGTATAATTTTCAGTTGTATATTACTTTGCTGTGGTCTTTCAAAAAAGGGGGGGAAAAAAATCCGAAATAAGAATGTCATAAACATGACAACAAGTGCAAGTGGTCAGTACCTTGTTTACCACTGGAAATGTAGATTAAAGAGTAAAACATTCTAATTCATTCAACAACAAAAATACTCCAGTATGGTCCAAACCTGAAATTATTTGCCACTGTATAATTCTAGACAATACTCTTTATGTGCTTGGGTTTAGACTATACTGTGCAACAGAAGTAGATAGATCTAAGAAGAAATAATTAGGAAAAGTTCAGTGTTGCACAAACTGTTAAGGGGTCATCAAAACGTTCAGGTTTCACTGGGAAGCACCAGCCCCACAGCAGGAGCTATAACACACAAAGTCTGGAACTTTTCTTCTGTTTCTATCGTGAATAAAAAAGCGCAAAATAGGACCAAATCCTGTGAAGTACCAGAAAAATTGTACAACGACGCCAAGTATACCTCCATCACTTCTCAGCAAGAACCAAGAATGTGTCTAAGTTCCATTCCCTGGTGTCATTCACTTTCCTTTTAATGTTGTGTTTGCTTAAAATAAATTACCATCGTAAATAGATGTGGTCTTTAGTTTTTACATTGTGTCTTGCTTGTGACCTGAACCTTTTCAGTAAGTAGCTCTTCTGGCCGAAAAGGAACTGTTCCAATGATGAAATGTGGAGAACGATTGCAAACGCACCAGATGGTTATCCAAACTTACTTTTTTTGACTGATTTCCTCTGTCTGGTGCCAGTAAATGTTTGTGGACTATTTAAAACTGTACAATATAGGCTGACTTTTCTTACCCTAACCCTGACAACCAGAATGCAATTGTTCATGGATTATAGATAAATGTTTAAGTTTAGATTGCATGTATATAGTAATTCCTCATGCTGACAGTTGGATTTGTGGGGTAGGGCACAGAGGCTTGTCCCTTATCCAAACACACCCAGGCGTGTCTGTGCAGCTGCTCGACTATTGTTCACTGAGTGATTAGAAACCTTTTACCTCCTTTTAACTCCAGCCACACATAATAAGGGCATATGCCACACTTCACTTCAGATTGTAGGTTGTCCTTATGTAGCCGGTCTCTCCGCGTTGTGTATTGTGTAGGTAGATGCGTCAAGAATCAAACCAGACACAGGGGTTTGTCATTCGAGGGATTTACTGTGTGAAACACAAAAAATCAAAATGCTGTATAGCACACGGCAGTCCCTGACACAGATCTGCAAACAGAAAAAGTGCCACAGACAACAGTGAGACCATGCTCGCTAGCTTAAATACACTGGCTTTTTCAAAGTGCTATAACTCGATTAAAAAACACTATTTCACACATTTACATTAAACATAAACATTGGCAAGTGCCTTATAAATCATGAACAACAAAAAGAATTGACCTAAATCAACTTTATATGAAATATTTTATAACTTGAATCACGAGAGATTTTACTGCTTACCTCCCCTCTGCTTTCTTCCCAGCAACTGAAGGGGAAGCCCGCGAACCCACAGGAAGTGGCTACACCGCCAAAATAAAAGCCTCGATTTAAAAATATACAGAAATAAAACTTAAATAAAATACCAGTAAATACTAACAAAAAAAATATGATTTTGGTGAAATTGACAAGACTCAGACCACATGGGCTACACTTAGGCCTCAATTTTTCTAACAATTTCTATTATTTAAGCCTAGAGTGCCCTGGTGAAAAAAAAAATATAGAGATATCTCACGTGACGTCACGATGCCTCGAACTCGCGGGGCATCCGCCATACTGGAGGACAAGCAAACGCTGTATGATAGTGGCGTGCACCCGGGACCGCATAAACATGTTCAACATTTTTGCCGTTTTTGGCTGCAGCAAAAGGAGAGACAGGGAAAATAAGTTGTGTTACCGACTGCCAGCCGTCCTTACTTCACACGGCTCAAAAACAGAAGACATCTCAAAGAAACGAGAGAGAAATGGCACAACCATACGCAACAACAAAAAACTAATAGCCCCCAGAGCGCCCGAATATGCTCGGATCATTTCATTTCTGCTAAGTGAAATCAATTTGATGGCGGATTTAGTGTTATTCCAAAACAAACAGAAGTTTAAGGATAAAACATATCTGTCTGACTGCAACGTGGGGTTGCTCCATAGACTGTAGCTTAGCTTGTAGCATAGCTGTTATATATTTGGTCTCACACAGGACCTGACCCGGTTCACAGGGTATCTGACTTACCGAAGGCCAGCAGACATGTGAACGACTGAGCCGTGCTCGAGGGTGCCCCGTACTAGTATTTATTAATAAAATATACGGCTCCTCACAGTAGACGCAGAAAGCTCAATTGATTTGAATGTAATCTCATTATTTCCACTGCAGTGTAGCCACACATAGATCAATGGTGTAACAATAAACACATTAAATGTTAATCGGAGAATACATTATACATATACATTCTTAATACACGTGCACAGAGGTTTTCAGAATTTTCTGTTCACGTTTTCATGAAAAAACACTGTTTTAATGCGACAATATGCGACCGCGGTAAACCTGGACATTAATAATACATTTTAGGATGCATTTTCAGAGGATCTGATTCATGAATTTAGGTTGAGTATATATTTGGGTCACTAACTGCAGAAGTTTCAAATTCTCTGTTCAGTTTTCATGTAGTTCGAGAGAGTTCTAGTTTTGAACGTCCAGTTATAGATAGCTAGCAGGGCTGTTACTCGCCGAGGTTGTCCTCCAGTATGGCTGCCGTGGCTGCTAGTCACGTGACCGTAGGATCCCTCTATACTAAATATATTTAATTTCTGTATATTTTAATATATTTTAGTATATTCTGATAAAGTAAATTTTAATTGTGCTATTTTGGAACAACTTTTTTTGTATTAAATATATTTAAATTGCTCATAAATAGAAATTAAATTGTATTCTAAGTACTCTTAATGCATTTTTATGTACTAAAGTGGAACAATTCTAAGTATACTTTGTACATTTTAAGTATATTATTACAGGTGACAATCTTGTCATCGATTAATATAATCTAATTGCACTTCCATTGTATTTAAAGTGTACTAATAATGTATACGAAATACTCTTCTATGTAATTGAAAGTGTATTGGAAAGGCTATTGCATTGCATTTTATTGTAATTTCAAATATTTATATGTGTTTATAGTACATTAATCTACATCAATTACACAAAGACTTCCACCATTACAAATATACTTTATTTGTATTTATGTTTTGAACAAACAAAAAATACATTTAATTATAAAGGAAATGTACTTAGAAGTTACACCTTGAACTTTTTGATCTTAGGTTAAATAAATTGGAAGATAAAAGACCAAAAACAAAAACAATGTGACCTTATTATTTCAACCAAAACATCTATGGCCTCTTATGTGAGAAATGTTCATTGTTGCACTTTCTTCTTATGGCAGCACGAACTTCAGACACTGTGGATCCCGGAAATTCTTCAATTACAGCATCTGCACATGAAAACTTAATCAATACAAAAAATATGACCAATGCAGTAATATTAATGTAAATCGCATTTATATGCACTTCATACAAGTTATCAATGTATTAGGGGAAGGAAATCAAATTTGTACAGAGCTTTCACATGACACAGGTCACGTACAGCATTTCAAACAAGATATGGGAATGTTTTTCACTCACTTGTAAGCTATTTGAATATCGTTAAAAAGTGCTTTCATTTCTGTAATTCAACTTATAATCTGAAACTAATATGACAGGCTCATTACATGCATAGTGATATATGTAGCCTTTAATTTGATGCAATTTTGATCATTATGGCTCAGCTTGTAAAAATCCCAAATTAAAAATCTCTGAAAAGTAGAAGATTTTGAAAATGGACTGTAAACCATAATCATCGAAATTATTTGAAACAATGGCAGGACATAATGTCACTTTGCATGTAACGAGTCTCTACATCATATATTAGTTTCACATTTTATGTTGAATTACACAAATAAATCAACTTTTGCACGATATTCTAATTTTGTGAGTTTCACCTGTATATTCATGAGTGTACGCTGAGAAGCAACAGACAGTTCAACCACTATTAACCACTCATAAGCCCTCATGTTCTCCTATCCAGGAACTAACTAGACACAACTGTGTTAGTATTAACCCTTATGAATTTCAAAGATACATTCCAAAAGTACTTTTCATGTTCTTAACATACTCTGTTTATAGAGCATTCCTCAGTCGCTGTCATTCTGGTTGTCAGTCAGCTTTTTAGAACTTTGAGGTTTCATTTAAATAGGCATAGTCCTAAACAGCAGATTGCCAACCAAAAGTCACATGACTGAGAATGGACTTATTTAGAATTGTGTATATTTGAAGCACACCTACATAAGACACGTTTAAGTTCATATATTAATATTTTTTTCTTTTCTTTTTTTAATTAAGATTAACAGGTGAAATTACCTGTAATGGCCTGGACTTTGATCACATCTAGTTGACCTTTGGCCATTTCTCCTTTTCCATACTTTCCAGTTAAAGTTGACTTTGCCAGAGTGTCCTTTGAAAAAAGAAGCACCGCTAACTCTTGGGCGAAAACGGTCATCCGTGTTCGATTCAAACGAAGAAAAGCCCTTTTAGAAACTGCCACCGTCTTCCCTGGTAGAAAGTGCTGTAGGGAAACAGACACAGAAAATTAAAATAAATTACATTTTGTCTTTGGCTTTTCTGATTGAATCATATTTATTTTAAACAAAATCATTTGTTCGTGGTATACTACATGGTATAACAGTATACCTACCACTTCACTATCACCATCACCATCAGCATCTGAAGAAAACGTTGATGACACAGAAACATTGGTTGAAGAAGTATGGGACAGTGATGTGTTCACTTTCTCCACACACTCCTTCATTAATCGCAGTGTCTCTGGGAGTTCTTGAAAAACAGAGAATGTACGAATAATATATAAACCAAATTAACATTAGAATAGACATAGCTTTTCATGAAAGAGCCACAAAACATACCACGAAGACACCCGATAATCTCTGCCATTGATGGCACAGCGTTATCTTGAGCATCAGTCCCTGTCTAGAGAAAAATTTAATTCCAACAATCAAAACGAAGACCACAAAAAATAACATTAGAACTTACCTCTGGATTGACATGCAAACTTTCTTCTAAGTTTTCAATCTATAACACATTAATCATGTTAGAATATGTTATGGTAAGCCAAAGTCCAATATGGTTTTCTTATATTAACCACAACTTACAATTTGCAAAGGGGGTGGGCTCCCAATGTCTGTATCATCTGAACTGGGCTGCGGTGAGAACTGCTGTATCCGCATGCTTTTCTTTAGCAAAAAAAAAAAAAAAAATTATATGTAATATTTTACACCAGGGATTGTTAATGTGTAAATAAATGACCCAACCTTGCGAACAGGTGTCTGGCAATCGTCAGAGCTGCTGAACAACTCTTCAGATGCTTGCAGAGACCTCTTTTGTGAAAGTGTGTCTTTTAATTTGGCGAGAGTTTTGTCCCTTGCTTCTTGTCGGGTAGACTTTTGTTTCTTTTTTTTATCCTACAAAAACAATAGATATTTATGTTAATAAAACACCTTAATATAATAAAGTGTTATATGATTTACAAATAACAAACAAAAAACAAATAAACAAATAATTCAAAAATACTGAGGTAGGTAGGAAGGTAGATTATCTAAATTGTACATGTAAAACTAATGGCGGCTCTCCATGGTAACAGTCTAATGTCAATTGTTACATTCCACTAGCCTGGCTAACACCAGACTAAAATCACAAGTGATATATTGTTGTGCAGTTCGAAATGATTCGAGCGCACACAGCAGCATGACGTTAGCAAGGTTAACATTCCACTGGAACATTACGTCCTATAATCCAGATTGTTTAAATTAATGTAATTTGTAATTAGCACTCACTAGTGTACCCTTATATTTCATACTAATGTTAAAAATGTAAAGGTGTACGCAACAATAAAAACAAGGCTTACCTGGCCAATGTTTGCCTCTCTGGGTTTCATGTCATCTTTGGGCCAAATGTCTCCTCCTATAATGAATTTGTTCTTCTTTTGGATCAACTCCTTAAAAGAATCTGTAAGTACATATGTAATTTTGTACATACACAAATAAAGACTAGCGTTAACTTTTTTGCAGCTTACCCCCAAAGAGTAACACTTTGACGGCCTCCGTTTTCTTCGGCTCCTTCCTTGACGGACATTTGAGTTCTAACCAATTCTCATCGGTCAAATCAGGCCGAGAATTAATTTGATTGAATTTGCCAATATTTCCAACTATTAAAGAAGTGCTTTCCACTTTGACGACCTCGTTGTGGAAATAAAAAATCGCAAACTTGAACGGAAGCATTTTCTCTTTACCGTAAATCTAAGTGCGCTAGGTTGTTTCAGCTCAAGTGTTGCTTTTTGAAAAAAAACTAAGATGGCGGCGGGCGCTGGGCGCGCACGGCGCGCAACGTACGTACAACGTACTCAAGGCAAAGTGTTCTTATTGGCTGAAGAGAAACTTGCTCAAGACCGACTGTTTTCATTGGCTGTATCAAATATGACTGTTAAACTTCTGGTTGAGTTTTTCCGCTCTCAATTAGTTATCATGGCGCCCCGTGTGCTGAAAGGACACTTAAGTTCGAGTTCGTGGGATACGCCAAGAACAACAAAACATAGAAAGATTAAACAGAGAGAGGTGAGTAAAATGTGTGGTTTCAAGTACAAAAAATATTTATTCAGCTAGATGCTGTTAGCATCTGTTAGCATTTCAGTATGGAAGTAGTTTAGTAGCGGTTGGCTGTTCCCAGCTCAGTGCTATTTTCAAATGTACTGTGTGTGCGCGCGCGCGCTTGTATGTATGTATAATATATTTGCCGAGACATTGTTCTACACTGCTATATTTTCAAGTTACAATTTGAATTAGTTGTGAGTTAAAAGGTTCTTACCCGTTCAAAAATGTCCTAAATTGACTTTGGTTTACTTTCAGATAAAAGGAAAAGCATCTTACAAGAAATATCTGATTCTGCAATCTGCACTTCCTAGGACTACTACATATAGAAGGAAGTTGCTTAGAGAGGTATTCAGTTAGACATGCATTTTATACGAAATGTTAGGATTGTATCTTTACCGTACATTTTATTAATTTGCAGAAAACTGTGGACTGCATTCCAAACCAAAAAGAAAGGGAGGAGGAGGAGGAGGATTTGATGTCATGGACACATTCAATCGAAGAGTCCAGAATGCTGAACTACAAGGATGTGTAGATGGTATAACTGTAAATGATATTGGACTAAACATCGATAGCGAAAATAATCAAAGTGAACCTCAAGGTGAAAAAGACAATGACAGTTTACATATGCAAAATACATTTGATGGAGTCAGAGAGGAGAGGGAGCATGAACATTCTGGACATACAAGTATTGGACAAGAACACATATTAAATGAGGTAAAGTACAAATTATCCACTAATATTTAAAAAAATATTGTTGGCTATGTTAAGAATATTGATTATTATTATTATTTTTTTTTTTTTTAAATCTATTTCAGAGAAGAGATGACCTTGTGTATCCTGGTGCCTCTCTCACAAAGGGAGAGAGCCTGCTTTTGATCATGGCTTACATACTTCGACATAATTTGAGTGGCGTGGCCCTTCAGGATCTTCTCACACTTTTCAATGAACATATTCCTGGATTGGTGCCAGCCACCTCATATTTGTTCAACAAAGCTTATGGTGAGTTTGGAGAGTACCTTCCCCATTTTTACTGCACCGACTGCGAAAGTTACTTGGGACCTAAGGAAAAGGCACCAAAAATCTGTTCCTCATGCAAAGCTGAAATTGACTTGGAAGAGAATATTAACGCTGGATCTTTCTTTTTCGTAATGAACACATCGGACCAAATTGTAGACCAAGTTCTTGAAAAAAGCAAATTACAAGCAATACAAACAACTCATGGAATAGTATCAGATATAGAGTGTGCACAGGAATATAAAAAACTAAAAATAAGTGGACATATTGGACCAGATGATGTGTCATTGTTATGGAACTGTGACGGAATACCTGTATTTAAAAGCAATAATGTTCAAGTTTGGCCAATACAGTGTCAGATCATTGAACTATCACCTAAAGACAGACAGCAAAACATAATCGTACCATGCCTGTGGTTTGGGAAAAGTAAACCAAACATGCTAAGTTACTTGAGTGCTTTTGTAGATCAATTTAAAGTGCTTGAAGAAGTTGGCCTTACTTGGAGGGACAGTGACAACATTCAACATAAAAGTAGAGTGCATGCATTAATCTGTTCAGCAGATTCAATAGCCCGACCCCTTTTGAGAAACACAAAACAGTTCAATGGAAAGTATGGCTGTGACTTTTGCCTCCACCCGGGTGGTGGCCCTTATGTGTGGAAAACACCAGAACCAGCGTTAAGGACAGCAGAAAGCCATTTTGAGCATGCCATGCAAGGAACAAGTGATGAGCCTGTAATGGGTGTCAAAGGACCCACACCACTGATGGAGCTAAAGAGCATGAACATGATCACCTCTTTCATTCCGGAGTATCAACACAGTGTCTGTCTGGGTGTGACCAGACAGATCACGTCTTTATGGTTTGATAGTAGGCACCATAATCAGGACTGGTACATTGGATCTAAGGTCAGTGATGTAGACAAGGAGCTACTTGGAATCATGCCACCCGTGGAAGTGACACGAGTACCAAGATCAATAAATGAAAGGAAATTTTGGAAAGCGTCCGAGTGGAGGTCGTTTCTACTTTTTTATGCTTTGCCTGTTCTTAACAATATTTTGAAGAAAAAGTATGTTAATCATTTGTTTTTACTAGTTTTTGCAATGCACACTCTTCTTCAGGATGCCATCTCAGGAAGCACATTGATGTTGCAGAAAAGGCTCTGCGTAAATATGTGTTAGATTTTGAAAGACTTTGTGGCACGGTCAATGTTTCATACAATGTTCATTTGCTATGCATTTGCTGCAAGTGTTCGTAAAGGGGCCCTCTGCGACGTCTACCTTTCCATTTGAATCCTTTAATGGGACATTGCTGAAAGAACAACACATTTCCTATTCAGATGGCAAGAGGTTCAATGGAGAGGTCTTTCAAGCAAGGCAAATGCTGCGATGATGAATGCTTGTGACAAAGGACCTTTTTCAATAAACTAATCAAATGCTTTTCAGTGTGGTGTCAGAGGAGTTGGCTGCCCCAAAAGGCATAACACATCTATATTGCATAGAAAAGCCATACAATGTTACACAGGCATGATGATTAATTCTGGTTTATTTTATGATCGCTTTGTTTGTAGCGGAGTTCTTTATCATTCTTACAATAATACAAGTCTTAAAAAGAGAATTAATTCTGTTGCACAGTTGAGGAATGGACAATTTTGTGAAATATCAACACTAATTCATTATTCATCTGAGAACGAAGTTTCCCATGAGAATGCTGGCATATGTGTGTTGGTGAAAGAACTGAAAAAAAGTGAAAACAATGCTTGGAAAGATGTAAAGCTGAAGATATCGTCTAAATTTGTAACTGAGGTGTCCAGGACAAATAATGTATTTGCTGTGGACCCCTTGTCACTGCAGCGTAAATGTGTAATGTTTAGTTCCATGAACAAATTTTTGTTGTCCCCCTTCCAAACAGCATTGAAAGAGATTAAAATAAAGATTTTAATCAACTGAACAGTCTTCTGTTGTCTGGCCTATTTGTAGAAATCTGTAAATCCATTTACAATCTTTATTTTCAAATAGGAAAGTTGAACTTGCAATATTTTAAGTATTTAACAATATGAAAATTGTATGTAAACATACAACACAAAGGTAACTTGGAGTTAGCATTGTTAAAATTAATATTAACTTGATATTTAATATATTAAATAAGTAGGTTGATAAGAAAATACATTTGAATTGTGTTTGAAAAGAAAAGAAAGTATTTCTTTTTTTGCATTATTTACATATTATCAACATATTTACTCTAAGTATATTTAGAATAAATATACAAAAAGTATATAATGAAATAAATCGGTTTAAATATATATACAATGTTATAATTTTTATGCATTTGAATTATACTTTTGTAAAACATATTTTTAGAAAGTGTTTTAAAAATATACTTACTATAAAATATGTTCGAACAACAATTTTACAGATATATTGCTGTTATACTTGAAATGTATTTCTTAAAAGTACAAGTTCATTTTATTTAATTAAAAATATATTTTTGAAAAGTAAAATAGAGCAACAATACACTTAAATATATTTCTTTTTCACCTGGGGTTTTCAGCACAAACAGCAAAACAATAATAGTGGTAAATATCTGAGACAAATATGAACGATTCACGAGTGCAGGAGGAAAGCAACAAACGCAGCTACGATTCAAACAAAGACAGGAACAGTGCAAAACAAACGACTGCACAGTTTATAAGTTATATATATATGTTAGATATAAGTTATATATATGTTAGATAGTCCACAGTCTCCTGTATATCAGGCTCTGAGCCCAAACTGCTTTTCCTTCGAAGCACAAAGCTCTGCTCCATAGTGCCTCGTCCATGTCCCTGCTGCAGCCGCTTCATGCTTCCTTCCAATACACACACACGGACCAATCACAGCGGAGATTCCTTCCTTTCTAACCCTTACGTAGTTAGACAATTTCGATGCTGCGCGGCAGGCGACGTAAGGGCCTTGCAGTGACCAACGCGTTGCGCAAGTGACGCCACGTCACCTCCGTAAGCTCCGCGCCGCGCGAGTATAAACTAGGCTTAAGAGCAATTGCTTGCTTGCAGTCACGTGACGCATACATTTCCGGTCAGGCCAGCAAAAGTTGCTGCTGAAATAGTCGGCACTAGATCATATACGGAATCAGGACAAAACCGGAAGTAACAATCCTACTTTCAAATTAATTTGAGACTAATTCTTCCTTAAATGGTGACTGGTTAAGTTTTAGGTGTTTAAGTAAGATGGTTAAGTTTAGGGTTACGACTGGGTTGGGGTTATTTTATGGGAATGGCTGGTTAAGTTTAGGCATGAATAGGTAGTTTGTTATTTTTACTTCTGCTTCCGTCCCGATTCCGTATATGATCTAGTGCTGACCCTGCTGAAATGCGACAAAAATGCGACTCGTCCGAGTATTTCTTTGCTTTTTTGGATATCTCATGACACTTTGAAGCTACTGGTTAACGTTCTAACTCATCATTCTAACAATATGCACAGGGCAGTATTTTTCCACTACATGTTTTGGTAATATCAAGGTTGAAGCTACTGGCACCGCGGTAAATGCTAATATGCTAATAATGCTATTAAGTCTCCATTCCTCCGCTGTATGTCACTTACATTCTATAACGTCTTTGTTTATGCTGCCTCTACCATCAAAAATAAAACATGTCTTGTGTCTGAATTAAAGACACGATCCTAGACTGTCCTTTTCTTCACTTTAGATTCTGACAGTGTGTTGAGTGTTGTACCATAGTTGTCTTCACACTTTTGTTTTAACATATTTGTAACTGTCTAAATCTTTAAGTAGCTGTAAAGACACTGCTGTATAGCTGAAGCTAAAGAGATATCAGAATCAGAATCATTTTTATTGCCACGTAAGTAACAAACAAAAGTTACCACTTGGCGCTGTGTGCAGCAAGAAACAGCAGAGAGCAAAAACATTCAGTTTCACAGACAATTGGATAGACACATTGTGCTTTGTATGAACCACGGATTTTTTTCTCGGGATGAGCACATCCGACTGCCGGCCCAATGTGGCTGTCAGAGGGGGGCAGGGTCAGGGAGGGGGTGAGCCAGAAAGACAATGAGCAGTGGAGGGGAGGGAAGGAGAAGATGGATAGGTAGAGGGAGGTGGGGGGAGCGGGATCCGTGCTGGAGACTGAAGAGTGTGAGTTGTTGTAGATTGAAGGGGCCCATGTTTTATGGCCTTGGCAGAGGAATGTGAGATAAGAGTGGAGAGAAGACACAGCAGGACACAACACATCGCCTGAGAGGGACAATATTATATGCAATGTGGCAGTCAAAAGCAGGCAGATATTCTATTGAATCCAATTAAACCGAATTGCGGCGCCCTCAGACCTCCGTACACAGGGGCAAATCCAAGCCGGGTCAGAGAGTTCAAGCCTGACACACGATGTCATTCAATCTCATCTCCAATGTTTTATGCCCTTCGAGTGAACGAGTTGCGAGGTCTTTTATCAACTGTTCCACTAACACAACTCTCCTTTGTCCAGACACTGCACTCTCAACCACGCTTCTTAGCTTCTTGTACATCCCATCAATTTTGTTGGGCAGCAGCTTGAGAATCTTGCGAACCGCCATGCCTCGGAATTTGCGGTAGAAAAGGACCGCTCCAAACCCATAAAGGAGGATCCCCAACACCAAAATGCCAAAGATATATACGTCTTCCGAATCTTCAATGGACAGGGTCGACAGACAGAGGGGCTGAAACTTGTTCCAGCTGTCAAGAGTATACCCCGCAGGTGAAGTCCTGTCCGGGCACACGGGCTCTCCAGACCCACGCTTACGTGTTGAAAAGATAGAATCAATTGCGTTGAGGGACCAGTTAATCATTTCCATAATTCTAGTTAAAGTTGTCTGTGGCAAAACTCCAGGAAAAAGACAAAAACAGGAGATAGCAAGCAGTCAGAAGCAGGAGCGGTCTGAGACACGTCTTT